GCAGCACGTGCTGGGAACCGGGCCCAGCGTCCCATATCGAATTGTACAGATCATTGAGAAAATTTGAGATTTGCTCTTTCTTTTGCTGTTTCGGGCTTTTGCTATTTCGCTCTTTCGTTTGCTCTTTTGCTCTTTTGGTCGTGCTTTCACTCTTGCTATCGCTCTTTTTCGAGAGATGGTTAACGGGGGGGCAAATATTCGCCGTTTTCACCGGCAATTTCAGTCCGAAATTCATTGAAAATATCAAAAACAAACGATATGGGCCCAGAGTGCAAACGTCATAAAAAAAAACAGGCCAACTTTTTCTTTATTGATCCAAACATGTCAAAACTGGACACAGCGTACCCTAAAGCACATATATGTCACACAAAAAGAAAAACAAGAAAAAAAGCAAAAAATCAGCACAATGTGACAGTTTCAGTGCAAAATTCGCCGCAAAAAGCACCCCTGGTTAAACCACCAGTACTTGGCCCAGCTATCGATGCCGAGCCTGGAATGCCCCTGCACGCCGATTTTCGCCGAAGCGCCGGGGTACCGTTTCGAAACTGTTTTGGCTGGCGCTTCCAGCCATTGAGGTCCGGTACCCCGAAGCCCTAAAGGCGCGGCGCGTTAACAGGAAAGCGCCGCGGCCGATGGCTGGGCCAAGTACTGGTGGTTTAACCACATGTGGGAGGGTCGAGCAAGGCCCCCAAAACAAAAAAGAAGGGCCTAACTGGAGACCAGCAGATCAAAAGGAGGGCCTAACTGGAGACCAGCAGACCCTTTCTCTTGCTGCGTGATGTGGGCCACTGATTTTGAAAGATCAGCGGCCCAGATCAGGCCACAAAACCACCACCAAGAAGGGCCTGCCACAGGCATTCGAATTTGAACGACCAACCCTCCGTGCATCGTGGCATCATCATGCCTTTGTCGTCCTCCTGGCAGCTCCTCGCCTTCGCCGGACTCGGCCCCCTCTCCCGCTGGCGTCCTGGCATCTCCTTGTCATCTGAGGACTCCTTTGGGAATAGCAGATGAGAATGCTGTGTCCTAACTTCTTCTTCTTTTTTTTTTCCCCCCCCCCTAAAAGTATGACCTACTTTTGAGTCTTCCCAGAATGTCAGAACCTGCATCCTTTTCTGTTCCCCCTTTCCTTGTCTGAATGAATGCTGAATCTGCATCCTTTTTCATTTCTGAAGTTTCTGAATGGCTACAGCTCTGTGGACTAAGCACACTGCACAGTGCACAGAGCTGCACTCCTGCGTGGGAAAAAGCACCTGCACAAGATGCAGAGTTTAAATCAACCCTCCCTTCACGCAACCCAGGAGTACCCATTGAGTACCCACTGAGGATGTCATGGAGCAGAGCCACTGAAAGCGCCCAGGTGGGGGTGCAGTTTTGAAATCTGCGCTCACCACGCAGTCCTACGACCGAACCTGCATCCCATGCTCAGTCTTTGTTTCTTTCCTTGCGGCAGGCATCACATCTCTACCACGTGTAAATGATACCACGGCTGAGTGCACCACCTAATCAGGCTTTGCTGTGTGTCTCAAGGAGGCGACGCTGGTTTTAAGCAACAACCACTCCTTCCTAAGAAACCGAGCCCGCTATGGCCCAGCGGCCAGCCCTCGTGGATAGAGGTACAAACTGTGGTGCCCCGATTGACCACCCAATGCACCCATCAGTCTCCAAAACTCACTCAAAAAAGGGAAAGATGCTTGCGAGATGGCCCGGACTGCTCATTCTCACGCACACTCTCGAGTTCTCAACTGTCATTGGAGCTCACCTTCCCCCCACAAGAGAATGAGCAGTCATTATTCGGGTGAAGACGGCCGGTCATTATAGCTGACAACTACTGTCTTCACCGGAATAGAACGGCCGGTCATTATAGCTGTATTTGGCACAACTTTCAGCCCAGATACGGCGATAATTACCGGGCGTTCTATTCGGGTGAAGACGGTAGCTGACTAGAATGCACTTTATAAAAGGCCATAATTCTGACTTGATAAGCCACGGGCTCAGAGTTCAAAGTTAACCCTGTGACGATGTCGCTACAATGCTCAAGGGGTAACCGTAACCCCCTCTTCAGAAGAACAAGATGTATCACACCAACTTGAAAAAACCTCGTTCTATGGCGGCCTCAAGCGACCCCCAACCACCTGCAACCGGCAACGGACCGCCTGGAGTCAGCAGTGGGAATCTCTCCAATATCTATTTCCATCTCACCTACCGCTTCTCCCAGTTCAAGTCGCTGATCACTAGGGATAGGATCCTCCGTACACTGAAAGTCGGACACTGGCAGCAATAATTTTTTCATTAATTTATTGACCATGACGTACTGCGTTCCTGTCGCACTCTACCCCTCGTGTCGGGTGACTTTCCGAGGCAGTCGTCGCAAGCGCCCGTCCGACCCGGGCTTTCACAGCATTGCGAGCATTCACGGACGGCATCGGCACGGGGGGGGATCGTCCATGTCCGTCGTGCGGCCGCAAGCAGTGTCCTTTTTTCTCTTTTTTTTTTAATGTAATGGGGTATGACAATAGGTCTCACACTCATCTCTACGTTTTATATTCGGTTGTACTATTTCATACAACCAAATTTCAAATTTTCATGAGATGAACAAAAAACAAACGAAACACTTTGAAACTTGTACGTCCTCCTAGCTTATGAAGACGACTTAGATCCGTTACGGTAGAGTATACCCACACTCGGCCCTCAAAATCGCAACATAGCAAAATGAGCGGCCAGATAGAGTCCTTCCATTACAAGGACTCTATCTGGCCGCTCATTTCGCGGTCTTGAGATTTTGAGGCCTTGACGAACTGTTGATGTTAAGCCACCAGTACTTCCTAGAGTTGTGCCTTTTAACAAGGCACAATTCCAATTTTAGAAAACGTATGGGCCACTACAGGAGTGACCAAATTCATCCGGCTAGACACGTTTGTACTCTATTTTTTTCCACGGCCGATAGCTGGGCCAAGTACTTGTGGTTTAAGGGTTGTCCCAAGGAACCACCCAGGGAACCGTTGATAATAAGGGAAAAAATTTAAAAAAATGACAAAAAGAAGGGGTTGGTGACAGACTTTTGTTTTGCAATTTCAGCGACGAATACATACATGTACGCGGGACGAAGAAATTGGGACCATGACAGACTTTCATCAGAATGTCGCACATTGTTTTTAAAAGTTTAAACTTCTTTTTTTTTTCTTTTTTTTTTTCCACACAGTTAATGGGATTCTGACACTGACCTTTTTGTCGTATGTCTTACAGATAAAAGCAAGTTCCTTGGCCTTCTCCACAGCCAGTTGATGGTGCATGGCCTCGGCTTTTTCTTTCCGTTTTTCGTAAAGTTCTTCCATGACCTGCATGCATAAAAGGCATTGGTAACATATCAAAATGACAGAGGGGGTTGTTTAAAAAAAAAAAAAAAAAAAAAAAAAAGAAGACAGAGGGAGCTCGAATGACCATTCTCCAGCCCACCATTAATGCCCCTCTTATAACATCTGTTATGTGCAGGCCATAGTTCATTATACCAACGAGGAAACCATCGAAATGCTTCAAATATTTACTGCTCCAAATATCATAAATAGTAAATACACACCAACAAAAATAGGTGTTAAGTGGAGGTCATAGTTCAGTAAATTATGAAAGCATTTAAACGCTGCAGACACCCGAGTCCCCGTTCCACGGTCCTGAATTGTCCCAGTCCCAGCTGGGCCAAGTCCCAGGAGGTCCCGGTGTCGAGCACATCGGCCCCCTTCCCCGGCGCCGCCGTCCCTTTTTGGCCTACTTAGGCTCTGAATCGCGCGGCTGCTAGGCTAGGTCTAGTTTTAGCATTCCCACACTCCCGCCTCTTCGCGAGAAAAGGCGGGGGCTGATGCGCTCGACACCGGTCCCAGGCTGTCCCGGTGGGATAGGTTGTAGGGTCTGCAGGGCGAAGCGTCGTAGGTTGGTAGGCGTCGTTACGGAAACGTCACAGGTCGTTTAAAGTCAGTCCGGTACCCGGCAAGAAAAGTCCAGTCCGGTCAGTCCCAAGTCCTAAATTTGGCAGCAAGTCCCAGGAAGTCCGGAACCTACCGGGCCCGACAAAATGATTGCAGCAGACAGGCTGCGGCCGACCGGTACCGGTACCGGTCTGAAGCAGGCCAAGCCAGGTCCAGTTCCTATATTTAGCTACTACTGTGCAGTTGCAAGAGACGGAAGCGCTGCTGCTGCTTGTGCCTTAAGGCGACTTGGGGATAGAGCACCTGGAGAAGAAGAGGGCGCTGCAGTTTACCATAGTTAGGGTAGCGAAGTAGGTGCTTAGGCGGCCATAGCCGCTAAGCTTGAAGGCAGATCTGAGTGGGTGTATCCAGGGCTACGATCTAGGGTTAGAAGCGAGACAGAGACAGAGTGAGGCAGAGCGGACAAAGTCATTGATTGAGAGAGACAGAGAGAGACACCAGTTGAGAGAGAGAAGGGACGAGCTTCAGAGAGAGAGTAGGGTCTTAGCCGACATCCGTTTGAAGTTGCAGTGTTGAGTGTGTGAGCAGCAGAGCCGCCAATGACACGAACGATTCTTTGTCTAAAAATAATCATTCAGTGCCAGTTCTTCATGCGTTTGTCGTATCTCGGTTTTGGATTGCTCAAAGTGCGAACTCTCATCTGACTGTTCTTTGTGTGTTGCAAGGTTGAGTGTCGGTCGGGAACTTGGTTCATTGCAATCACAAGGAAATGACAGAAATGCTTCAAATTTTTCCAACCATACCATTCATAGAGCACGGCAAGGGAGTCCTGAACTGTGCAGACAACATAGTCCACTGGCTCTCTATGAGTGCTAAGGGCAAAATTATCCAGCATAATCTCTGCCTGCCTGCCGGCCTGCCTCTCTCTCTCTCTCTCTCTCTCTCTCTCTCTCTCTCTCTCTCTCTCTCTCTCTCTCTCTC